TGTGAAAACTATTACTACCAAGCAGGGTTACGCCTACCAATCTGGTCTCTACCGTTGTACAGCGGTTGCTTATCGCACTCACAAAAAGGGTGAGATGAGGGTTGGGGGAGGAATTTAATTTAGAGATACAGAAAACTGTGAAGGACGAGTGCTCCCCTTTTTTCATTTTTTTCTTATTATTTTCCACCGACACCTAGCCCACAATGAATACCCAAAAGTGTGAAACTCATTCTACCGACAATATCCAAATAATTACATCATGGTAATTATTTGGGAATTATTACCTTTGTCCGATTAGGGTATGGAGTCTGGGGAGTATAGAGTGCATTTGATGGAAAATTCTAATGATACTTGTTTGGATGAATGAGACGCTCCGAATTTTTACTTTATTTTTTTATTATTAATGAACTTTACGTTGGGGTTGCGTGGAAAAAAAAATTTGACGACTTGTCGTTGCACATTTACTAGGAATATATTTTTTTGTATACTCACTTGAAATTTCAGGTAGAAAAATTGGAAGTATTTGGCAATGAGAAAGCCACACGAAATGACTGTAGAATTCAAGTGCTAGAATCTCTCTTAATAAACAAAATTCATGAATTTATAATTTTTTATATTGTACGTGTAATTAAAAATTTTGCATTTGGACTCAATGTTAATATTTACAATGGGCAATAACAGTTAGAAATATATTGAACTGATTTATGATGATTACAAAAATTAATCGATATGAAGGGCTTCACGGAGTCGCCTCAGAGTTTGTATAAACATAAACAATGGTTTTACAATAAACCATTATAGGGTTCTTTCTTTGGTGAGGAATGTTCTTATGGTCTTTGTAGCTGGTCATTAATCTCTTGGAGATATTGATAGAGTTCAGGCGGTATTCTTCCTCGTGCGATTTTAATAAAGAAATAGTGATTAGTGTTTATTAACTGTTTTAATTAATTTAACTATCCCATTTCCAATAGAAAAAATCAATTATTATTTAATATGAAAACCACGACTTTCCGTGTTTTTCACTGGAATTCAATTGAAACTCACATACATGAAAATTCCGAAACCTTTGTGACTTCGATTTCAAGACATTTTCACCCGAATTTCCGATAAAATTTATTGATTTTGAGATAAAAATTGACTCAATTTAAATACATCTTTTATTCATCTCAGGCAAATCATTTTTTTATTATTCGATTGATTTTTTTTGTCTTCATTTTATTTGGATGTCAGATAAAAATGAGATATCCTAAAATGCAGAAATGAAAAATCTTGAATTTTTCATGTTTGTGCATTTCATCAGTAACTTTAGTGGAGAAAACACAAGAATTCTTAAGTATGTGAAATACAGCATAGCATGACCATGTGGGAGGCCGAATGAGAAAAAGAGCCCGGATTTCCTTATCGGGTTTATTACAAGACGCCGTTCAATTAAACGAGCAACTGCGTGATCATTATGGACACAGGCGATCTCTTTGAGCCTGGCAGCATGTACCGGCGCCACTGGTATATTTACGGCAATTATAATGTTTGTAGATTTACGATTTATTATGTATAAATGGGGTCACTTTTTTGCTTCCGTACGGAAGCATTATAATCACTGAAATTGAAATTTTTGTTATGTGAGTCGATTACATCCCAAAAATTCGAAAAATCGGTTTTTTGGATCGCGTCCGTCGGTGTGTATGTACTTATATATGTATCGTCAGTGTGTATATATTTATGTATATATGTAGGAAAGGTGCAGGCGAAATGGGACATATGATAAAATGGAATGCGGGTTAAATACGCGTTCAAGTTAGATGGCGGATTTTTTGAGAATGTCGAAAAATAAAAAAAGTAAGAAAGCAACAGGATAATTAGGAGACAACATTGAATTCACAAAAAAATACTGGGACACTTTTAGACTGTCTCCATTTTTTGGCGGAAATAAATAACTGTGAATGAGTTAAAATCAATTTTCCACAAGTTTACAATTTTAACCAGCTCTCCCTTATGCATGGGAACTTTTCTAAAGTTCATCTGCAATTGGACGCAAATTTATCGGTAAAAAAAAAATAATTTGTTTCCGTATGTGTAAGTATTGAACCGTAATCGATATTAATCGATATTGATTAAAATTTAATTTATTTATTAATTTTCCAAATTTTTTGAGTTGTGACTTCAATGATAACTTAATGTTTTTGTTGAAGTTTTGTTGATATTTATATGATTATTTAAGATATGTAATTTGGAAATATTTAAATTTTGGAACTGTCGCGAATTATTCTTCTTTAATTGAATTCAATTGGATTCGAAAATGATAATTTCAATACAATACTGGCGATAATAGGAAATAAATGTAAAAAAAAGAATAGAGCTGAGAAAACAATCACGGATAAGTAAAAATGACAAACGAAAATTCTGGAATTTTTTGCTAATTTATTAGAAATAACATTCCATTTTTTAATGTCAATTCAACCGAATTTTTTGACAGTAATTCCAAAAGCGTAAAAATTTACTGGAAAACATCTGTAATTCCGTGATAAGTGTAATAACAACCAGAGCTTCATTACTCATCAAAGAGGTTCAAGGACTAATTACCGCTGTCACCCGTTAAGTAATTAAAACGCACCATGAAATTTTATAAATGTCACAGTACTCCTAATGTTCATACTCATGCAATGTTCTGAAGTAATAAACAATCTAATCAGATGGATAATTGTTCGATAATCTTTTTTTTTAAATTTTCGGGGAGTTCATGCGTCAAAAAATCTTTATAAAAATCATCATTTGGTTATTTGTGACAAAAATATATAAATATATATGAATATATTTTTAGAACTGAACATGTGAGGGTTCATTCATTCCACTTGGAATACCCCATATTATAAATCCCCAATGAAAGGGTATTTATATCTAATAAATGATAACAAGAAAAAAAATAATTTCGGAAAACTGAATTAATGCCAAGAGCCACTGGTATTTGACATTTGTCGTGGTAGTGCCTGGCGTGCACTGCCTTTTAACCATTTCCTCTCTGCATTTCCTCATAATTGTCCATAGAGGCTCAGTGTATTACAAACGACAGAGTAAACGCGCCTTTTTGGATAGAGAAATCCACTCTTCGTGATTCTCTTATTTTTTATTATCCTCACAATTTCTCCTTGTCAACGAGAAATTCTCAAATATTGATTAAGCAAAGCAGCAAAAGCCACGACCTACACTCGCTCTTCTTCTTTCTCCCCCCCAACTTTTTCCCTCCCCTTATCTATCCATTTTTAACGAACTAACAAAAATTACAGGTTTTTAAATATAACTGTGGCCAAGACATTGCGTTTTTCCATAAAAGATAAAACAGAAAGTACAACCGATTTTAGTGTTTCCTTTTTTGGCATTTAAAAAAATCCACCGTATGGGACTACAATTGATCGGCAATACCTCGAAACCGGAAATTTAAAAGCCCCAAACAATGCAAACTCCACCACAGAGTTGAATGAAATTCCTCACTCTGAGGAAAATCTTCTCTTCAAGTTTGTACCCATAATACAGCGGGTGTTTAGATGAAGCCCGGAAGTTGAGACGAAACGAGAAACATTTCTATCATCAGTGTGACTTCCGGTTGCTGTCCTTTTCCGCATTGTTGGATGTATAACACTCATGATGATCCTCGAAGTCGGTCCAAGCGTGAGGAAGAGATGAAGAGGTGGTGCGAGGGTTGAGGTATGTCGGAAGCCCCAGCATCGAGATGAAAAAGCTCTTACAACGTTGAATATTCATTCGATCGTCTCCCTCGCTTTGCTGACACCTCCTCTTCGTCCCTTCCACCTTTTTCTCTTCTTTTTTTATTCATTTTTCTCTCTTCTGCTCTTTTATTACTTTCCCTATTTTTTTTTTTCGGGACATAACCGCGCACATCGCCCGCGAAACATTAAGATACTTGTTTAATCCTTAATCAACTTTTCTTTTATTGTACCTCTATTTTTATCGCATAATTCATTTTTTATCTCATTATATATCATAATTGAAGAGTTTTACTAATGAATAAATGGGGAAAATGGGCTTTTTTGTGGAGGGTGGAATCCCCTACAAAACACCCGTAACTGTACCTCTGGTTTTTTCAATGCTTTCCGCGCTAAATTCGCTCTTCCTGTTTGATGGAATCTATGAGCTTCTAATTAACACCTAATTCATCCCACTCTGACTATTTTTCATTGACTTTTAAGAGATTTCGGAAAAACATAAATTTTTATGGTTCACGCGAAAAATTTCATTCGATTGGATTCTTTTCTACTCCGAAGTGGGCTGAATAGAAATTTGTATACGTCATTCCTTCCAATCCATCCTTTTGGTTCATTTTTACAGGTGATATATCAATTTCGTATTGCGGTACGTCACAGATTGAAAATTTTTCACTTTTCCGACTTTAAATGTTTTACCATGAAAATTTGTTGTTAAATAACCAATTTTCGACGCGATTATCAATAGATTATTATTATCAATCTCATATCGGTTGTAGAGCTGAATTTATACTCACTGGTTATTATTTTCAATATCTCATAATTTTTATGTTTGACCCAGAGAATAATTCGTTATTATCTTGCAGGAAGAATATCTACTAGGATTTCGTTTTTGCTTATTATTGATGAAGTCGCCAAGATAAAAAAAGTGAATGAATGAAGGGATGTTCATAACATTTATCTGAAGTTGTTCAATCAGTAAACATTAAACAACTTCGGATAAATCAAATCGGTCGATAGATCGATTATAGAATCTGTTTCATACAGTCTAACTAGCTGACTACTAGGCTAACGTCTCGCCTAGTAATGTAAGTTTTATAAATAAATGAGATTCTTCGAGTTCTCTATTTATTTTTCGAATAAATTGATAACTCATGTATTACCGAGGGAGAGGGTAGCAGAGGCGCAGAGGGTTGCAGCTCTCGTTTGATAATACGCTTTTCTAACAATCGTCGGTACAACAGATATCGCAGACAGGCGATAACTATAATTATGAGAACTTACCGGGATAGTTGCAATTTCTTTCATCACTGCCATCATCACAATTCTGGATAAAATCACACCGTTGCCTCTGCAGGATGCACCGGCCAACGTCACAGGAGAATTCGTCACTTCCACAGCCTGTGATCAGAATTAATGAAAATAAAATTTATTACTCGTAAAATAATGTACTCTCGTAATCAAGATATTTTCGGAGGACACCACTTTTCGTAGAAAATTGTATATCTCAGGTGTTCATTATTTGATTTCGATTATCACCAGCTATTGCAGTGATCATGGTTCATGTCAAATTTGAAGTTGATTTCTTAATGCGGATATTTTGCGGTGAAGAGTCGGAGAATTCAGCGGCGAAATGATAAAACGGTTTAAGTCGATTGTTATGGAAAATAAAATTAGCACTGGAATCATCTCTCGAGGCTACAACGCATTTCGCACAGAAAGGGGTGAAGCCGCGTAAAATATCTAATGACTTTTTGTAATGAAATGTAAGGGTTTAAAGAGTTGATATCTTGATATGTTGATATCTTCTCATTTTTTTAAGTTTTTGGTGAATTTTTGAGAAACCCTCGATCGGATTGACGTGAAAAAATGTACCGTTTTTGGGTTTTATCATTATTCAATGACACAAATTTTTTGTGAAGTTTTGCAAATTTTTGCAAATGTAACATAGGCAAATTGTTTAATAGCGATGAAACTTCGGGAGACATATTGTTTCGCGTCAATTTTATCAATTGTTTCTGAAAAATTTGTGAGAAAATACTTGAAAAATGAAAAACTATTAACAATAAGTCATTAAATCTTGAGTGCGAAATACAATTTGAGCTAAATCCCAGAATTTTAAGGAATAAATGGTTGCAGAAGGTGCAACTATTAGCATTAACAAACTTAAAATCAAATGAAATTCATTAATTAATTTGCATAAATTTACAACAACAGCCTGACAATCCCTTCTTTGTCGCTTCTGGAATTGCCTATTTTGGACTTGAGCCGTTTTATCGCTTCCTTATTGAATTTTCAAATGAAAAGTATTGGAAAATCTCAAAAACTCCGTATAAACAAGATAGAAAACATTCAGAAGGATGTTTAAAGTTTCAAGAAGATTTATCGAAATCTGTTCAATAATTCGTGGAAAATAAATTATAAGTATTAAAACATATTTGATAAATTGCTGTCGCTCACTCAAAAACCGAGGAGAGGAATCGGGTCGAAAGTTCGCAAAGAATGAGGCCAAATTAATGTTAAATATAAAATATTCCGAACAATTCACGAAAAGGTTTTATTTGGAAGTTAAAAATGAATACGAAAATAAATAAGAAAAAAAATAATGATATAAACCTACTCGTTTCGCAACCCTTCTCATCACTACCGTCATCACAATCAGGAATGCCATCGCACTCTTGCACCGAACAAATGTATCTACTTCTATCCTTACAAGGAACTGCATCATCGCCACGACAATTATTCCCAGGGGAAGATTCTGGTGAATTTCTGCTCTGCGTTGTAATATGAGTGGGTGATAGAATACCTGGATACTCGGTTTCACTCTCGTAAACTGTCTCGGTTCCTTTAGTGTTATCAAACCAAAAATTATAACTCAATAATTAAAACAATAAATGAATAAATTAAATAAACCATGTGACAAGTTAAAAAAATCCCAAGTGAAAGTCATTTAAAAAAAGATTAATCAACAATCAGAACGAGAATAGCTAATGATAAAAATAAATTACAGAATCTTGACGAACTTCTTCACATGAGAAATGAACATAATCTAATATTTGGAATATCAAAAAATAAATTTAATGATATGAATGACGAATTGGAATAATTCAATCACATGAAAAGATTTAATGAAAATTATTTGCAAATGTCTTCAAACGAAAAATAATGAAAGTGATAAATCGATAAATTAATTAAACAAATTGCCGTCACAGTTAAAGTCATAAAAAATTGATTAATTCAAAATTACGGGATGATTTTTGAATTGTAAAAAAGGGAGTACAGAAGACTTACGAGTTTCCTCAGTAGTTCTTGCCGTGCAGTCAGACTCGTCAGACTCATCTGGACACTGAGCTACACCATCGCAACGTGCACTCAAAGGCACGCAAGTACCATCTCTACATTTAAGGTGAGTGTGCTCAGAACACTCTAATGTACATTGAAATTACAAAAAAATAAACAAAAATACATGAACATAATTACCCAAACTTTTCTCAATCGTTAACTTGCATTATTGAACTTTTAAATGACTTTTTCATTAAAAAAAAAATGTTCTACAGTTAATCATAACACTTAATTAACGAACAATAAAAAACTAGCTAGTGTCTTGCTTGAATTATTTAAAAATTATTCTTTTAGTGAAAACAAATTTTTTGAAACTTTAATCGTACCACTCGGGGGAATTACACCTGTTGCTCACCTGGAAAACTACGGAATGTAAATCCTTCGGGAGAGACCTGAACATTTCCAAGCACATGCATCTGCAACTGCTCTTCCAGAATTTCCCGCACTTGAGACTCGTGAGGAGTAGTTGATCCGACATCTAGCATTACCTCCGAAGTAAAGGCATCATCGGTTGGTCTAGAAAATTTAAGACCATTAAACAATCATAACTAAATATTTGTTATCAATTTCATCCGCCCATCCTTCTCAGATAAAAAGGGATTGGTAATTAGTTCATGTAAATCCTCCAAAAAACATTTCCAGTAAAACTCAATGGACTCAACTAATATCATAACTAAATTGAATCCAGAATATTCAGTCGGACTGAATTTAATGGAAAATAATTTGCATTAGTGTGTAAAAGACCGTTTTTTCGTACGCACGCGTAAAATATCCTATTTTTGAAAGCGGCGACGAGGGGGAGGGGGGTAAGTAGTTATTTTTGTGTACTGAATGCGTAAAAGTCAAGGTCTTGCGTAAAGTGAATTTACAAGTGAAGCTTTACGCACGAGACGCCCACTGGACGGTTCGGAAAAGTGACCTTTACAGGCAGGTATTATAAAAAAAAACTCAATTGCTGCAAGGAAAAATTACCATTTGTCTCAGTTTTCGGAAAAATCATTTGGAAGAGGTATCAGCACTCATTACTAAGTGATTTTTTATTTAAAAACTATTCCAAATTTTGTAGAAATTATTCTATTCTATGAGGTGATGGGGCTACTCACGATATCTTGACGACATTGGCGACATGATCGTGGTTGGGAATGCGTTGAGACAACAATTCATCGAGTGCTTGTGTCAAATTTCTGCTCAACTGTACGTACTGGGGACTCCTTATGTCAGCGTATTCAGCGATGTACGGTTCTTGTAGAGTCACAGTAATTCGGTAGAAGGCTGTATCAAGAATAACAGCAGAATATCTCTGATTTTTATTGGATAACTGAGTCAAATCTGATCAATTGAAAAATAACTATTCCGAAAATAAATCGACAACTCCAGAGAATCACCTCAATATGTTCATAATTATACTCAATCCTAACTAAATTGCTGTAGATAATTTGATATAATTTGATTGCAATATGAATTAAATTATTATAATAATTTTCTGTATAAATATTTTCAAAGGCTACCCAAAAAGTCTATTAAAATCATTTAGACTTCTCAGATTACAAGACACTCTTTGAAAACTGCAGAACAACCTTCAGCCACAGATTAATTTCAAATGTTCTTTTTCAATATTTAAATTCGTCCTTTCTCTCATTCAATTTGACTCCGTCCTCCTGGCATACTATATTATTGATCAATAATTTAATCTAATTACTCGGATAATTGAGAATACGGTGATCAATAATTCCTAAACGAACAATAAATACAGCAATTAGTCTACTAATCTTCACTTAAAAATGGTCTCAATTGGTTTTAGCTGTTGCCAATTCATCAATAATTAATCTCTAACTAATTTATTAATTGAACAATAATTGAATGAATGCATAACGAATCAATTAATTTTTTAGTGAAAAAACAGAATGTTTATTGAACATCAGACTTTCTGTTTAAGTATTCATTATTGCCATAATGAGGTATTTAATTCCATTTATCTATTCGGTCATTGAGTTGTAATCAAATGCGTACTAATAATGAAATAATCAAATACAATTGCATTGAATGAAAAGTACTCACTGGCTTGTCTTTCTCCATCTGGCCGTCCGGTAATATCAATCGAATCATCAGTGGCACTTCCTTCGACCTCACCAGAGCCAGCAGCAAGATCCTCATCATCTGGATTATCGTAATTAGATCTGTGTCTTGAGGGAGCCGTGTCTTCGATATCATTGTCCTGACATTTGAAATATTTAATGAATTATTTAGATCAGATTCATATTCTTTATGCATTAATTATTTGTAATCGCATTTTTGTTCCCCGTTCTAAATAAACGAGTGGGAAATTATCAGTGGAAGAAGACTCCAAAGATAATTACGATTTATAGATTTTTAAATGGTAAGATTGTAATAAGAGGCGATAATTTCAGTGATGATTCACCGGAGGATTATTATTATTATTTTACTCATCTTTATCGGGTGTCACAAATATATCTTTGAATAATCTTCTCTCAAGTAATTGCATTAGTTTAAGAATATTATAAATCAGCAATTATTGAATTTGTGATATCTTGAGAATTAATTATAAATTCGATTTTTCAATAATCCAAATCGACTTGAATCGATTTATCGCTTTGCAAATTTTGTTTCCCTCTCAGTTCAGTTTCTCGTTTACTAACAAACAACCCGAACATTTAATTTATTTACTGGATTAATTAAAAAATAAAAAACTGCTTACTTCTTCATTTGCATCGACATTTCCATTCACATAATTCGATTCATCAGTCTTCTCTTCACTATTTCTAGCAGGTCGATGATGCTGTGCAGTAGTAGGATGGATAAATTCTGTTAAAGCTTCTGTAGTTGATTCTGTATCTATTAAAATAATGACATGATAAATAATTGATTCCGGTAAAAATGACGAACAATGAATTCACTAGCCAAGTGGTATGCAAGGATAAATGCAAGTTTTTGACTAAATTTCATCCAATATCTCGGAATTGAATGAACATAACGATTTTTTTATAAGAACATTCTTTATAGAGAAATATAAGAGCTACAAAACAGGTAATTATAAAAATATCGTTATCTTCCCTCAATCACGAGATATTGGCTGAAAACTGCCATCGAAAGAATGCACTTATCCCAATTTACCGTTTAGCAAGAAAATTGGTAAACTATTTAGAATTCTCAGGTGGATGAACAATTTTCTTACTTGGAGCCACTGTTGTAGTAGTCACTGGCTTGAACCAATCAAATAAATTCAATTGCCTTTTAACTCGACTGAAGAATGTGTCCTCAGTGTTATCAGCTACTGGAATTGAAAGTGGCGACTGTTTTCCCTCTGAATCAAATACCAAGTCATCATTCTGTAACAAAATAAATTATTCATGCAATTTTTTAAATATTTCAAATATAATTACGCACGTATAATACGTACATAATGGAGTAATTCTCATTTTTTATATTATATCAACCCAATATGATTGACAAAGTCGAAGGAATAAATCTTTACACCTTGTAAAATTGATTTTTTTTTCAATTGAACAAGAAAAAATTAATCTTTCAAGGAAAGTTTCCAGAGGTGAGAACAATAGGTCAAAAATTGAGTGGATTGTTATCGATTTTAATTATGGAATCCAAATTTTGCATATGCTCTGATATGACGATTGTAGGATTGTAGGCGCGGCTCAAACGAGCGTTATAAAATAGTTGTTGAAAAAATAAAAGGCAGAGTGTAGGAGAGAAATAAAAAAAAGCAAATACGTATGTGGGTTACGATCCACTGTGTCCGAGAATATACCACGGTGTAGCACGAAAAAGATTCTCATCGTAACGATTGCGACGTTTTGGCGTTTTGCACGTCTCAACTTTGCCTTGGCAAGTATCGTATGAAGTATCCTCACGTGCCACTCATAAAGAACCAATTCTCACCTAAACACACCATATAAATTCAGGATCGGCGGGCCATTTTGTCCGCTTCTCTCCATCGTCAGTCGTGATTCGTAAACTTCATACTCAATGCATCATTTTTACTCTATTTTTTTTGTTACTTCATTCAAATTTTTTCCACTGGGAAAAAAACCTAAGAAAATTTACCAACCCCAAGCGATATTACACAATTATTCCTTTTTCATTTCAACTTGTTTCTTTCATTCCTAATTATTCCTAATTAATAATTACTAATTGTTAATTCCTTCAGTTTTCCTATTTCACTAACTTTGAGGGTGAAAACACCTCCGATTTTTTCTCAAGGAGAGAAATTTGTCAGAATTTTTCCCGTAGACGTGACCAATTTTAAATTTAAAGGATTGAAAACTTTCTTTTAATTTTTCCATTGGATTTGCAATAGACCGTCATTCTTAGACATGAGGAATGTCTCAAGTTTCGCCGCTGTGGCACAGTACTATATTCAACCCGTCAAATCCCTCTTCAACACCGGATGTAAGTATATATTGTCCAAGGGTGAAAGCTGAATCTCCCAAGAAGCAAAAATAAGTAAAACAAAGGCTCTCACGAGAAAAAAAAGATAGATTCGAAGTGTTTCTAGAGTAGCAAAAGTCTATTAGTTGGTTCCAAAAATAATTCGCCGTGTTTGATTCTCGGGGGAATTTGTATAGTACGTAACCACGTGCCCATTCGAATACCCTTACGTAAGCTGTTGAATTTTTCACTTTTCCTCCATTCTTATTTTTAATACAACTCCAGACAAATAAACGATACCGTTTGGTTAAGGCGCTTGTTTATGCGACACGCAATTCTAATGTCAATATTTGATATTTACGGTTTCACTATGCGCCCTATGTGTTTAACATCAAAGACACTTGGGAATGTGAAAAAAATTGTGTTACAAGAAATTGCGCAGATGATAACTCAAAATTCCGCTATTTATCGCTGATTTTTCTTTTTTACATATCATTGTTCCATTGAGAGATATCCCTCATTAAAGAGTTCAAGGAATAATTGAATAAGTGATTCGTTTGTTCTCCCTTATAATAATCATGATACATATATTATATCATATTATACATGACCATATGGTTATCTATTAAAATAACAACAAAGAATATTACAGCTAAAAATATGTCAACAAAACACACATTATTCCAAAACATTATAATAACATGGAAAAAAATAATAAATTCTCATAATTGGTATATAATTGTCAATTACTCCCGAATTTTTACTCATTACAATTAATTGTCTTTGTATTTTGTTACAATTAATTATTGTTACCTTAATTTTTCCAGCAATATAAAAATCAATATTTCAAATGACAAAATAACTGTTATGACTGACACCTCGAAGATACTCCACAATATTTCAACAATATAAATCCTCAGGTAGTAATATGGTACGCAAAATATATCGATTTCTTCATGTACACCAAAGTAATCCCCAACTCACTCAAACAAATCACAACAATCCACTAGACCTAGGGATACTGATTAATAAATAATTGAGAGCAACAATATTTTGCCAGTATAATACTTCTATGCAGTAAACAATTTAATTTATCATCATAATTTAATCATAATTTAATTTAACATCATAACTCTTCCCTTTGTAATATTTTTTGGAATATTCTGAGGGGTAATATTATTATTGCATAAAATAAAGAGCGGTCACAGATTATATATAAACTTGTAAAATAACAGTGCGATAATAAATTTTATATATGAAGGGTAATAATCCCTCGTTTTTCCTCGGATTTTCAACTTAAAAAAAGGTGTGATGCCGTGACTTTTGAGTTTGATCTCTTTAATTTAAAAGGAGAGGACATAGAGCACCTTGTAGCCCTTTTCGCAACGTAACACGGGTAAAACGGAAAACTTTGTTATTCCGTGCAAGTTTTACCAGGAAGAGGGTGGGGATTTCAACGCTAAGTCCACTCCATGATCCTTTTTCCTGGTGGTGGCCAAGTACGTGCTCATACTTCGACAAAACAGTGAGTTGGTGGCCCATGCAGTCCGAAATCCTCAGCATATTTCCCCCCTTTAATTTTTTCTTTCTTTTTTTATTCGTTACCAGCATTGTGAAGACTTAACAAACCTATACTGAAAATTTAGTTTCTTCATCAACGTTAAATGATCGATTGACCGAATCGGTTCGGATCGACCCATTCCAGCTCGATCAGCATAATAATCAGGACAATAATTGATTTGAGGGATTATTTGAATGAGTTTTTAAATAATTTAAAATGATTTCAGAACTGATTTAATTCGATTTAAACTCAGAATGAAACAGTGATTCATGAAAAACTGATCTCTCACGATTTTTTTATCGCGTTGTCGCTACCCAGACATAAACTTGCTTAAAATACAATAAATAAATACCTTAGAAACAAATCGAAGAATGATGGGTGAATGGAGGTTTATTATGACCTTTTATGAGAATACCAGATTCAAAAATTGGGTCTCCACAGAATATCCACAGAATTTTAGAATAGAAATTCTTAATAATTAATTCCGTCACGTTTCAACTTTGTCTCATCAATATTCTTAACTTCATACGGATATATTCAACATTACAAATGCAACAAATTTTTATGAGGTCCACAGCGTTAAAGAAGTTATCGATTTAAAATTATATCTATAAATGATCTACCCATTTGGCCCATCATTTACAAATATAACTCATCACGTCATTTGGTCCCGTCCAATGACAGCGGAAATTTGTAGCAATCGAAGTAAAAGAAAAAGAAAAAATGTATAATAGAAAAATCGAGTATTGGGTCTAAAACAATCGATCCTTTAAATATCGATCTTGGATTGGACAATCCTATATTGAATATGACGTCAGGCTGGTACAGTGATGATGACAGGATCATTAATCGAGCCCCTCAATTTTTCCTGTCACCTCGTTCCATATTTTGATAGATGCGATTACTAATTATCTATCACCAAGAAAACGATGGAATGAAGGCGAGTTACTTGGGTGCAGTGGAATTTGAAAGCACTTGTACGCACGATTTTAGAAAAAAAAAATTATCCTTCATGGACAGTTGACTAATAATTCATAAGCATCCTTACAGATTATTTATACTGAAAAATGAATGGGCATACCCATTAGTCATTTCCTCGTGGAAAAATTATATATGTGATAATAATTACACCTAAACAAAAATCTTTTTGTAGATTCTGTGAAAATTTGATAGGAGTCTTGAGTCTCATTTAGAGATGCAAGGTATCTTGATTCGATATTTAGATAATTTAAGTCAAGTTATTTGAATGTTTAAACTTAATTCGTTTAAAAACTGAACTTAAAGGCTCAATTCCAGTATTTCAAAACTCAAATAATTTATGTGAGTCTCAAGTTCGAATAAATAAATTTGGAAAGCTTCATTTCCAACTTCTCCGTCTGAAATGGAGACTTGAACATCTGAAATTAATCTTTCGAACCGCCAAATATAGTTTAGCGATTCAATTTAAAATTAAGAACCGAAAGACTAGACTTTGTTCTTGCAAACGTCAAATCTAGTTTTCCGAATTATTAAAATATGTGGATTTTTTATGGTTATTTAAATTACTGGACGAAAGTCATTATTTATTTCAGAGTTCTAGAAATTTCTTGAATCATTAATCACAGCGTTCTCTGAATTTTCAGTTATTTGAGTTTGAATTCAGTTCTAATTGAAAATTTTCAATGAATTCTCACTCAAATTGAATTCGATTTCCGATATTTTTAATTGAAAAACTTGAAAATCACTGGAAAATTCGAGACATTCATGTATAAAAAATTGTTTGAATTTTCCAAGAAATTCTGAATTTTGAATGACAAGATGTTCTGAAATTCCTGTGGAGTTGCAACACAATAGAAATTTATGGAATTTGGCACGAGAAATTGAGACATACATTTTTCAATGATATGTGAGAGCACTAGGCAGAAGACGCTTTTATGAGTTCGCTTGAGTCATTAATAACAGTAATCTATTTCGAAATAGAATCTTTCGGTTAAGTGACCTCTGAAAATTTAACTGTCAAGAAACCAAAAACTCATCAAAAATTGTTGGAAATGATTTTGGACGTTAAAACGAACAAGCGCGACCCGTTGTAACAGATCGCAGGGAATAATGGAAACACTTAGGTTGTTTATGACCGAAACAACCAACCCCATAGAAAAAGGGCCTTATCTTTTGGGCAGACCTGTCACCCTGGACGACCTGGTGACGAGAGACACTCTTTTACAAACTCTCGAGCAAGCAAGATTGGACATTAATAATCTAGCTTACATTATATCGAGTCTTTAGCTAAAGTTTAATTGTTAACAATAAATGAAAGATTGCGTCATTTGATTAAATGATCTGCAATATATGTTGAACTACAAGAATGGACTTGTATGGAAAGAATGGAATTGATGGAAAGAATGG